AGACACAGTGGTTACCACCAGTTTAGCTGACTGAGCTAAGCTGCTCTCTAATAATAATCTATATAAATATGAAAAAGATTCATTATGAAATTATAAAGTGCACATTAAATCCTAGCTATTTTTAGTTCAAATTTTATATGACAGCATCTTAGCTGAGCTAAACTGGTGGTTGCCATTGTGTGTGCATTGAAGCATGGAGATCTTTGGTCCCCAGTTTAAGTCTATCCAATGCTTTTCTTGTGTTTTAGCTGGAGGGTTGAAATTAAAGACATTATGCTATTGTGTGCAATATGGCCCATGTGCACAATGAAGAATACAGGAAAGAATGGGAATGTCTCCCTGTGTAAAATTAACTCCAAATTCATATTTCTTTTTTTGTAACTTTATGTATTTTTTCTTTTGACCCTCCTATTACAGTTAAGATGTTCTGCTATATATTTCGATTTTCTCATTACGACAACAGGTTTTTTATTCAAAAGTGTTGCATAATATGCAGTAAAGGGATAAACAAACATGCTTGCCTTCCAGTAAAAAATTTGTAAAGCTTAGGATTTTTTAATGAATAAGAATATCTTCATTATGAAGCCTTATAACTAGACTTTGTATATAGAGCATCTTTTTGGCATGGTACTGTTATTGGCACTTGCCACAGAACCACTCTTCGTATTAAAGAATTGTTCTTTGTGGATAGATTTTAACTGCAACTTAGCAGTCCAACTTGACCTAGGTCAACCTGACCAGTAGACTAGGTGCATGTACCTAGTACATGGAGTACATTATTTTGAGAAAATATTTCTTACTCCATGCTTAGTACTGTACTAGTAATTTTTTAGTAAAAAAGTAAAGTTATTATAAAGGTCAGTTTGCGTTTTCAAATTGTGTTTTGGATAATGATGTTGTTATGTATGTAGAGCTAAGATGACATATCAACTACCAGAAACTATGTGGAAGCTACTTCAACTACTCTGATTACCAACCAATGATAAGAAAACCATTTGTTTCTCAAGTTTCTAGTAGACACACACCCTGTACAGATAAAAGTGTCTGCATATTGTTACTATTTTTACCAGAGCATTTAACAAATCAGCCATATGTTTTTGCACAGGTTTTTGTTTTATCTAATGTACTGTAAAACACTGTTTCTTGGTATAAGAAGCTATGACATTTGTACCAATTTATTTTGACCTTTGTATCATAGACTTAGTTGCTACTAAGTAGTTGCCTAATTGGAAAGCAGTATGTTTGATATTTAAGTAAACACTTGTAAGGAATTGCTATAAAACTGGAAAAGTTATTAAGTAATAACAGGGTTCTTCTCATTCTGATAACTCATTGATATAAATGTGTAATATCTGTGACAGATTACATACTCCTTTAAAAATTAAATTAAAATATGTGTTGCTCATTTCAAAATGGGATCAAATTAATCAACTTTGACTCATATAAACAATTAAGTTCTCTCTATTTAACTGAATTTACTATTATTAAATCCTTAAATTGACTGCCAGCCAATTTTCGATCAATGCAAAGAATATACTGTACAACAGTATATTTCAAATTAGAGTATTTCAATAGAATTCCAGTCACTACGAGTGGACGCTACTTCGAGCAAATGCTAGTTCAAGTGGATGTGTTTAGTGCAAAATATGACAAGGGCGAATCTATTCAAAACGACTGTTAAGTTTGTTTTTTCATGCCAAAATGCACTGTGTAACTAAGGTTTTGAAAGGTTTTTGGTAATTTTAATAATTCTTCCATGTTTCGAATTATAGTCTTGGTAAATGTGACCCCCAGATGACTGCTAACAAGCACATCAATTATTAAATTGTGTATGCTTCATTCTGAATTCACAGCTTTGTGTTCAATCTGGTGTTTTGTAGTAAAGAAAGCAAATTATAATTATGATTGTAATAGTCACTGTAATTGAATTTCTGCTGTATTTTGTATTTGCTCCTATTGACTGGTTTTGTTTCAATATACATAAATTGTAGCTTTACTTCTATATTACGAATGTATATTTGTATAATAATGCACTTTAAAAACACTATTACAAAATATGATTAAATTATACAAAAGTTGAAGTAATATATCCATGTATTGAAGGTGTGGGATTTTGACAATTTTATATGGTCATCTTAAAGTGCATCTTATATAGTTAATGTAATGTATAACATTTACAGTACTGCTAATTTATGATACACATTAGCAATATTTTGTAGCTAGCAGATCCATCTGTTTCTCTGCTAGTATGACATGTGTAGTATGTTTTTTTTATGGATATTATAGAGGGTGACCTTTCTAGCTTAATTTAGAAGGTTAGCTGATATTATATGAATAATGTGAGGCTTTATACACTACATCTCATCATATATTTATACCTCCATGATCTCATATTATTATTATTATTAGTAGGCAACCATATTACCAGCACCACCTACATAATAATATTTACCAGTATAGGTACAGTAACATAATTACATATCCTTATATGATGTTAGCATAAAGAAAATACATGATTTTTTTTGTTGTACGTAGCTATTCAAATCTGCATTTGTTACATTAATTTGTAAAATGTGCAGGTAGTTGTAATGGAGATGATAACATGTGTAAACTTTTATGATCAATATGGTTGATTAACTTCCAACACTTAATTACTTTTTTTATTATCGGCAAAGATAAATTCCTGGTGTATTAATAATATATCATTGATAAAAGCGTCCTGGATAATAATAATTTTACCACCACCACACACAAGTTCAAGTCAACATTTACTTGTATCATCATTTTCATCATGTCGTCTGATGAAAGTGGCAGAGTACATTGATTGTGCTAGAAACTGTGTCAGCTCTGGCAGAAAAAGTATAGCGTATATATTTGGTCATAAGAAGAATATAGTACCAGTTTTTAAAGTCAACCCCACCCCTTCCCCATCACACCACTCTGTATACAAGCATCTGCTTCTGCATTATTATAATTAAGTTACCTTTATTTTTAGGATTATTTGATAAGGACCATAGTGGAACAATAGATGTGAACGAATTTGCAGCATTGTGGAAATATATACAGGATTGGAAGGGATTTTTTGATCGTTATGACCAGGACAGGTCAGGACTAATTGAAGCAAATGAATTAAGCAGAGGTAAGATTATATATTTGCTGCGAAGCAGCCAATTCATATTCTTGACAGCAATTTGACCTCTGAAAGGTCATTGTTTGTCAAAAAACCTGCGCCTAAGGCAACTGAAAAGCGGAGTTTCCTTCTTTCGTTCTGCCGGGTAAAATCAATTACTTTAGGCGACGTTTGTGGACTAACCTACTCGTAGCAATGTCCGCATGTCGCGACGCTGGAGTACTATTCAGCGTTTTTATTATATTTCTAGGTTTCCTATTTCTACGTTTAATCGGCTCATGTCTTAGCCACAATATTTTGAGGCCAATATAATTTACGAACCTAGTTAAAATTATTAACTAGCCTATTTCAACGTACTATTTATTACATTTAGGCGACGCTTGTAGACTGGCAATACACATGCGCAGATCGATTCGCCAGCAGCGAGTCATCGGCCAGCAGCGAGATGTCACTGCAGCAAAACACTATTGTACACGGTACCAACGCTGTTCTAATATAGACAATCGGTCGTGTCTCATATTATTTGTTATATTTTTATTATTCATTATTTTCACTTTACTCGCATAAATAATTTTGTTTGAAGAACATTTTATGCAGTTTTACTTCGCAGCACTTCACTTGCAATTTGCAATTTCTAGTATATCCTCTATTTAAAGCAATAATATTACAAAACTATATTTATGTCCTATCGATCTAGTAATTTGTTTAAAATTATAACTCAACAGAGAGTACAGTAGCATAGCATGTTGTTCTGAAAACTAATAGTATGTTGGGTATCTAGTGGGTATGCAGGGGCGCAGTCTTTTAATGCCAACATAATGTCAATGGCTGCCGAATGTCTGAAATCAGACGGCTACAAGTACCATTATACCCCCCCCCCCCAAAAAAAAAAACTCTTATATATGCCACTGGTAATAGCAACATATGCTACCAGCTTTTTTCTTTAGATATCACAAATTTCAAAGACTTCCAAGATGCAGATTAAAGTCACTTGTGGTAGGTATGCAAGCTTCAAATAGAGGTCAGTCTAGGTCAATTTTAACTCTGATGCAATGTGGGTATCAATTTTTTTGGCATTTAGTTTTCCAGATCCAGTTCTTGTAACCAGTCTGTGTGTGCTGAACTGTGAAGATCTTTGTATCCCTGGTCATGCTGCTTCTATTCTCCCAACTATATTCTCCAACTCACGCTACCATTCACTACACTATGATGATTTTACTCCTTAAATATATCCTTGTTAATTTAATCATCTTATGTTATAGCTTTTTCAGATATGGGGTATCGTCTATCAATGCAATTTTGCAATATGATAGTCACCAAGTTTGATCGGGTTGCTAAGAGGGCGCTGAAGCTGGACGACTTCATCCAGGCCTGTGTGATGCTAAAATCATTAACAGATGCCTTCCGTCAGCGAGATAGTAACATGAGTGGGTCAATACAGATTAATTACGAGGACTTCATGTCACTTGCTCTTTTGAACAAACCATAAACTAAAAAATGTTGAAAGACCAAAAAATATTTGAAAATAGGTGTATTATATTTGTTTGAGCTCTATTGGAAAATATTTGACCATTTTTTTTAGTCTTGTATGGTGTTAAGTATAAGGCTCTGTCCTCTCTATCAAATTTATGTGATGTACCCATATACTTACTACTTATGTGATCCATCTCAGGGGAGGAGGATCCAGAGATGTCCAAAAGGGGAGTCAACACCACCCTAGCCAGTCTGGGCCATTCCCCCACGAAATGTTTTTTCTAGACGCCCGAAAATAACCTCAATTTGAGTGAATAATTTTTTTTTTCTTTCTTTTTTTATTTATTTATTTTTTTTACTTTCCAAAAGGGTGGGGTTGGGGCCGGCCTTGCACCCCCCCCCCCAACTTAAATCTGCTTCTGCTCCTCATCTACATCGTAGAGCTGGAGCTAAAACCCTGTCCAGCACTTAAAAAGGTTTTTCTTCTGATTGTGTAATGGTTTTGGTTGCCTAACTTCTATGTTAAAAATATGGGATATCTTAAACCAGGGGTATGATGATGTCATATTATACCCAAATATGGGCATATCACAGTTATTTGTGACATAAGGTTTGGTAGTTTTGACAGAGCCTAACAGCTGTAGGTACTGTTTGCAATGCACAGCATCCAGTAACTGAATGTCATTGTACAGTAGCTAATCAAAAAGAATTTTTGAATGGTATGCTATAGAACACTCTCTAAGTAGGTACTTGTACAGTAGATTTCCTCAACAAGACTCGATTATATCTAAAAGCATATCTTCAGTGATTTTGATTTCAGCTGGAGCTTATTGCTGTGGAAATTTGAAGTTGAGGGCGCCCTGACATGATTGATGACTGAATGTGGTGGTTGCCAGGTTACCTTGATTACTGCCAGGAATTGTTATTGAAATTTACCTTGCTTTGTTGATAAATCTGGTCAGTTTATCAGGGCAAATTATGAGTTGTTTATGGTATACTGTACTTCTTTGATTGGTTTGCTTATACCTCTCAATGTAATGGATAAAACAACAATAAGGAGCTAGTTGTCTGAGTGCCTAGCTTGTGGCTATCACAGTGCAAAGACTCTGTTTGACTTGCTTATGGCCAAGCAAAAAATACATTTAGTATCTCATGCAGCAGCAAAAATGGAGGCAAGCAAGGAGAAACTAACTATTTTTTTTACTTGGCTTGACGCATTTGAAGCCATAGGGAAAGACATAATTCGTTTTCAATTTTGTCATACAAAGTACAATATATTTGTAGGATCATTTTGTTTCGGACAAATTTTACGAAGAATATAATGAAATGCCAAAAAATATTACAGATTTTTTGATACTGACTTGATTATCAACAGATTTATTTTAAAATACGAAAGGCTTACATTGCCTACATGAGTACAGTACTTGTAGATGCGCTCTTAGTTGCACCCTATAACGTGAATGTGTTTGTATATGGCGGTGAACATGTTAAAATGTAACTCATTTAAATAATATACGGTAGATTAAATACAATTATGATATTCATATTGTTACACAGAATATCGGAATACTGTATAAAATCATGTAAAAAAATCTTGCTAAAAAAAGATCACTACAGTATTTGATTAAACAAAATATGATGCTTTATTTTGTCTTAAAAGAAAAGTTTTTTTCATTATTAACTGTACAATTAATAATATTTTTTCATTGTTATCTTAATTGTCATATCATCATTATGGATGTCAATCATCTATTTTTGATTTGGGCAGTCATTATTTAAAGTAGTGTAATATATTTTTTGCTATTAAACTTAATCATTTTACAGTATATATTTTTGTGGGAAACCCAATGGGGTAGGGGATCAAACCCATTCCTCAAAAAAGTAATTAACCCATCTCTCTTATGTATTGATGCCTATTAGTGAAATTCTGGCATGGATCTCTCATTTTGAGAAAAGAACACTACTGCCCTCTGTAGATTGTAATCTATTTTATAGACAAACCCAATTTGGAAACTTTGGCATTCTGTATAATTGACACTCCCATTGCTGGGTACATACTTGTGGTCCCCAGCCTGCATATAATATCCATATATGGTGGTGCAAACTATTTAGAGTATAGATACGTACTATAATTCCAATGTTTACATTTGTAGTAGTTAATTTGTAAGGATCCCTCTGAAGCCCTGGCAATACATCTACAGAGAAAAATTATCACTGTAAATGGATCGGTCTACAAACCAATTGTCCAATGCTGTACTATAAACCATTGCTCTGGGGTGGATGCAGGCTTTGGTGGTAGGGGGTGCGTGAGAGTCCATAACACCTCAGCCCCACCGTGGTTATGGCTGAGGTGAGTACAAATTGAGAATGCTGTATAGACCTAGGTGCCCTGAAATTGCACTCTCATACCTTAAGAATCTTACGGGTAATTCATATCAACAATACAATACAATTATTTTTCTTAATACAATTTAGGGGTGCGATGAACCCTTCACAATGTCTGAACCCTTTCCCCCCCCCCATCTGCCCCAGTTGCTTGCAGTGCCTTATCCCAGAATGAAGGTACTGTCAATGCCGTAGCTCACTATTGAGTCATCGTAACCATAGCCAACAATAAGGGCACAGGTTCGCGGCCGCCTCGCTCCTAGTTCCGGTAGTGGAACAAGTCTTCTCTGATAAGGACTATAAACTGTAGGCTCAGTGTACACAAATGCTCATGTGCACTTTAAAGAACCCAGTACATCTTTTGGGACGAGTAGGTGGTTACCCCGGTGGACTGGTCATCTCGGCTGTCGTGGACAAATGAAAGTGCGCCGGTTTACCGGCTGCAGAGGTCATAAAGCGACCCTCGGGGGAGGAGAAAGTTATTGAAAAGTGCAACATCTAGTCCACTGCACCACGAGCAACGATTGTTGGAATGGCGCAATATAAATGGAACGATTTGATTATTTAAATCTGATTGGGACAGTCCCGTGACAATTTTTCTAATGGGTCCGCATTTAAAAAAATAGGTCCAAATTATGCAGTTTTATGCATAAATGAGTCCACTTTTTGAAAAATGGGTCCATATTTTTCATATTTAGCCTGAAGTGGGTATAGTTTAAATAAATTGGGTCGATTTTCCATATTTTTGGGTCCACATTATTTGAATTTATGCGTAAAGTGGGTCCACCCTGATACTGTCCCGCATTGTTTGAAAATCCTGGCTATGGCATTGGGTACTGTATAATTTATCAAGAAAATATAAGATGCTTCCAAATGGAATACAGAATATGTTTTGTGTTTGGGAAAAGTATGTTGTGTTTGGTATATGCTTTTTTCAATTTTTCATTTTTGACTGACCGGTGTTTATTTTGTATAACAAGTTAATAAGATGTCCGTATATTACCAAAATATAATAAATGAACATATGTGTGTTTAGTGGCCTAAAATGGTGACTGCTACCATTGTATTTGTTCAAGTTTTGTAGAGGCAACTTCGTCATTACTGTAGATGTATTGTAGTATCATAGTTTCCGTGTTCCTTTAATGGTGGGTGGCTTTTTCTAGTTTGGTTTTAAAAAAAATTGAATCGCATATAATACTTTATAAATCAAAACAATTTTGTTATGTGTAATATATTGTGTGTTGTTATTTTAAAAGTGTGTGCAGCTAATGGTTTTTTGTATTACAAATTTTCCCCCAAAAAAAATATGGAATTACTTAATATTATTATTTGACTTCTTTCAATTAATGATGAAAATAAAATTTATAATAAAGGTTGTCAACTACGTGCCCATGTACTTTGTCTGGGTTTTATGTGCTTTGCTTTTAGTATATTCAATTATGTAAGGTCTACCATTTTTAATTTTGTATAATTGAATTAAATTATTTCTAATTACCAGTAGTAACTTTTATATTGTAGGGTTTTTTTCTGTTGCACACACACATGTAACTTCATGTTTTTCTATGGTATACAAAACATTATACATCCCGAATTTTAGAAGTTAACAATATTAAAGATACCCATCCCGAATTGAAGCACCCTCTTTAGTGCTCGAAAAGAGGCCCATCTCGAAAAGAAGTTTAAAGTATATACACTTGGTTTATACTGTAGTTTAGCTGATTTAATATCAGTAAATACACTCCATGATACAGATTGATGTTACAGTGGCCGTATTTATTGTTTTATAGTACAGTTTCACAGAATTTACAGCACTCATTTTGAAAAGAAGCCCCCCTCTTTACTTTGCAGAAGTAGCCTCGAAAAGAAGCCCATCCATAGTTCGCAAAAAAAGAAGCTCAGTGCTTCAATTTGAGGTTTTACGGTATTTTACTCTGTGTGTAACGAAACACTGAGAAACAGGTTTTAAATATAGTGTATACAGTGTTCAAATGAATTAATAACACAATGAAGACACAAGCATATCTTTATAAATGTGTATTTACAATGATGTAGGGCCTATGATACGCCTACCGATCTACGGGAATATGTGAGATAGGTAACATGAGAACGAGCATGCAAAGCACCACGCCAATACTGTATTTAATAAGCGTTGCTCTCGAATAAGAGCCTCATTCAAATAAGTGCTGCACTGAAGCCTCCAAAAATTTTATAAGCGCTGCAACACTTATTCAAGGATTTACGGTATGTTTAATTATTTAAAAATATTAAATTGGGTTTTTTCAATACAGGAACTGTCTGATAATTGGTAGAGAAATATTTCCAATCTCTAATTTTCAATCAATACAAAGGTTTATTTAATGCTAATACAGTATTAATAACATTAATGATGTTTTTATATGTTACAAAATTATAGCAACAAAAGATTTAAAGGGTAAAGACTTAAAGGGTAAAGACAAAAAAAAAAAGTATTGTAAAACTTTGAATTAAAAGAATTAAAAATATGCAAGTTTAAGCATGCCTGCTCAGCTTGACACAACTTTCTTGATCTCTATCAGATCCATGAAGGTGCTTTCAATTTTTCCATACACAGTACAGTACTACTGTACATACACAAAATCACATGAAATGCTTGTATATATACCAGTGGTTGGCTTTAAGTTTATGTCCTTCCTTGATCACTGCATTTTCATCCCTTCCTCCCAAAGTATACATTTCAATTGCCCAATGACAAGTTCAATTTCCTTGTTAAGTCAAGTACTCGAGACCAATTTGTAACTGCAATAAATGGCGTACAGTATGTATGAATTATATTTAACTATAGATACCGGATGTGTGAATTTGTTGAATGTTTCACTTGTTCACTACACAATTTTGATTGGGGTGCTATATGCATTATCATTACATAGCGAAAGTCACATCAGTAATACAGTGTGAAATAAATTCTTGGAAAAGCTATTCAGTTAAAAAACTATCATAGCATGATAAAAACGCTGCACTAGATAAGCGGATTCACAACCTTAAATTGCCACGTTGAATTAACCTACACTGGTATAAGCTAAGCAAAAACAAAACCTGCCCAATCTAATTTGTCCATTCAACCACAAGTTCAAAATTAATTGTCTCCTAACATGATCATTAACTACATTCACAACTCCAAATTTCCACAATTCCAGTTTCTATGTCAAATCAATGTCCAAAGTACAATGTCTTAAACAAATGCAATTTTTCATTCATAGAGTACTATATTTGTATCAACTTCATCAGTCTCAATTATGTTAATACTGTATTGTGTATGTTTATGTGATAGAGGAATGGTGACCTCTCAGATAGACTGGGTTTTTGTTGTACTCAATGGGCAGTGCATGAACTTTTTTTTCATTATGCACTACTATATTTAAGTGTAACTGTACTATCACTACAGTATTGTTATTATTATCATCATCAATACTACAGCACATTATTATTAATAATGGAGTGGAGCTTAGGTTGGTGGTTAAGATTCTTGCTTTCTACTCCCAGGGTTTTGGGTTCAAACCCTGTCACTGCAGGATTTTCCTCACAATTAAAAACAACCCACTCCCTAAGTCTCATAAAAGACTTGGTATATAAAGCATCATTCCATGCTGTGCAAGTGACGAGTGTTCGTGCTGTCAGATGTGAAGGAAATAAAATGATATTTAAACAATATTATCATTATTATTAACTATTATCATTATTCGTTCTGTATTGTGCAGTTATTTCCCACTTATAAACATTAGTTTATTCCTAGCAAAGGTTTATTGTATGACTCATAAGAAAATGAACATTTGTAATAAATGTAAAAGGAATTAAAAACCATTTCTTAATAATAATAATAATAATAATAATAATACAGTAATAATAATCGGACATTTATAATGCACCGGTATTCCTTCGAAGACACTCACGCAAGTCTGAGCTATAGGCCAAAATAAATAAAACAAACAAAATAAATAAGAATGCAAATGCCAAAACAATAGTGATGATTTATGTGATATTTATTAGTACAGTAGGCCCTATTGTACAATGCATTAACATTTCTATACAATGCAATGCATTAATAATGTGGGTATACAGTATGCCATTATGTGGCAAATTTAAAATCCAATGTTCAAGAAAGGGGCTGCAATATTGTTCTATTGAGCAAGGCATTTTACTTGTGTTGTTGGCCTCAATGGGTGTCTGGTAGGTTTAAATTCCACTTCACAGAATTACTAGCTAAAAAGTTTCCCCAGGAAGCCAATATAATGTATTCTACAGTAGTTGATCCCATGACCTAAGGAAATCATATGAAGCACTAAAGAGATTACAAGACCAGCATATTATTTCTGTTCATAACTGAATCCATAAATGTAATTTTCAAGATGTAATGACAATCATACTGTACACAAAAGCCATTTAAAAAGTAAGCAAAATAGGTATATCATGGAGCTATAACAAAATAATTATAACTCCATGATTGGACAGGTTAAAATGTAAACACACAAGAGACAAAAACAGAAATATTCCTTAATTCATAAACATGCATAAAACTGAATACATTTATTACTGTAATAGAGATAAACACTTGGAATGTCAACTATAAAGTGCATTGGTTCAACCTTTCAACCCATTATTTCTAAAATCTACTGTAATAATCTTATTATTGTCGGATTAATTGTTCTAACAGTTAATTTAAGCATTATGAAGCACAGCCTTTGTTTTCATAACACCTAAATTAACTGTTAATTTAGGTGAATAGTCACCAGATAAGTGAATGCATGGAACGATTAGACACTTGGGATACCACACTGCATGATTCAGGGTTCATATACCTTGGTTCACAAATATTTCCGTAACTTTTCTATACCAATAAATTTAAATTTCCAACACCGTATATCACAGAAACTAAATTTCACAAAATAGTTTTCTTGGCGTGTGGCAGTGTAACCCCCATGCAAAGCAATTCATTTTGATTTCCACATATTTCCGTAACTTCTCCAATTTTATTTTCCATGACTTTCAAGGACCTGGAAAACAAACACTGAGATCATGTTTCCATAATTTTCCAAAAAAACATGCAAGAACCATAATGATTGGACACATGGTATTTGTAGCCACCAGTATAATGTAATCTAATAGGACACATGGTTCTTGATGCGATTGTCTGAAGTCAACATTATATATTTTAATCATGTGTATGTTCATTTTTTGGTACCAGAGTTATTGGCAGGCCCTTGTTTCCTGTTTTTTTAAATTTGTATTTTATATTGAATGTCTCGTGTACTATGAATTTTCCTTTTTGTTGCTTGTATTAATAATAATGCTAGACTTATATAGCACATATTGTTAAGCCCTCTATGCACTTCACATTATCATTACCCCGTCACTTGATTAAAAGCCTATGGAACACAAACTCAAGCTCCCTGGGGGAGTATTCAATAATGTTGCAGCAGCTACATCAGCGCATATTGGCATATAACCCTACCAGGTACCCATTTATACTACTGGGTGGAGAGAAGCAATGCAGATAAAGTGCCTTGCCCAAGAACACATGTGAAATTCACAGCGCGGTTGGAAAACCAAACCATTCTTGCTGCGCCAAACCACATCCGCAATTGTTGAGTTATACTATTTATTGGCATTGGTGAGTTATACTAATTATAGTGCCAATTTAGGTTTTTAACTAAAACTTTTTATTATCAATTGTAACTGTTTTTGAATAAAATATACCATGAAAAAAACAAAAAACAAAACAGGAGATGCTTAGCTGCCTGTTGTGAATGATATCTATACTACTGATATAAACATGTTTATATACTAAATTATAGATGATTTTAGGAATTTGATTGTCTTTCAAATTGTACAGTATTATATAAAAAAAAAACCACAGATTCATAAACACTATCTATATATGTGAATCTGTAACATGTAACAGGTCCACTAGTTTGTAGTTTCTGAGTGTTACCTACTTAATTCCTTCATAATTAACTCCAATTTTGCTGAGTTTATACAATTCATAAATGATATAATTCATCATACTATAACAAATAAAATAATCCAAAGTTATTAGCCTATGTATGATTAGACACAAGGGCCTCTACATAAATCATTGGTGAGTTATAGTATTTCATCAGATACTGCTCACTGCAGCTCATACATTTTGCAGTGTGAAGCCAAGCATTCACTGCCTCCTACGACTGTCGAATTTAACTCCACTCCCTGTTAAACGACGCAACACCATCTGCTGATTATCGATGACAATCATCAAAAACAATTTGTTGTGCGCGTGTTGTGGATAGAATCGCATTGGCTGAAGATTGCCGGGCGCACTGAGAATCTGGCTTAATAAATTACTTGATTATTGACAACAGTGTCAGTATTGAATTTTCAGCATTTTTCAATAATTGTAACGAAATTTATAACAGGGTTCACCAGGCCAGCAAAGCTGCTTCTGAACACATTTCACCAAACCAACTGTATTGCAAAGTCGTAACTAGGGTGTCCAGAACAGGCTTTTTTCGCAAGTTTAATTTATTGACTTTAATAATTACACAATGCTGATAAACATAAACCATAACTATCATCATTTTATGGAAACTTAAGATTGGAATACAATAAACGTCTACTGTATGTGCCACATTGTTACATCAATAGTGATGTTAAATAAATAATAATACAACAATAATAACAATAATAATTAATATTGATGTTGTTTGGATAAAACCTCCATCATCCAAAGGCCCAAGCACCAGAATCTGCTACACTATGTCGTAGATACTGTACAGTATCATGATTTTTTATCAGTGCCATTTCCTTCTTTTTGAATCTTCTGTATAAGATTTGTTTTCCAGTCTTTCTCTTGGACAAAGTTTGCCCAGTTTGGCACAGATGCAGTGGGCAATGAAAAGCCAGACATTGCCGCTCTGATCTGATCATCGCTTGCCATAATTTCTCGTCTGTGTTTCAGCGACTCAGGTGAATCAGTATGAGTGACAACTGTTGACATATCTGGTTTTGGAGTCTCTTTAGGTAAAACATGGGCAAGTTGAGCAGATATTTCTGACTGGTCACCTTTTGGTTGTCCATCAGAGACCCTTGCACTGGCTTCTGCAGCTAACAAGCAATCTTCATTTATAATTGGCTGGAAAAAAAAAGAAAAACAGAAATTAAAGGTCTGTTTATACTTGCAATGATAACGATAAAAAGCTAAAAAGCAATTGTTCATATAGACAATAAAAGAAAAAAGACACTTTTACACTAGGACAATTGCTTTTTAACTTTTTATCGTTATAGTTATCGTTGCAAGTATACACAGGCCTTAAAATGTTACCAGAACAGTTATTATGAATAGTATTATAGTCATTCAACAATGGTTATGAGCATATTATACAAATAATGAATGTTTATGAGCGCAATGGAAAGAATATTTTCATGAATTGAAAGATTGACTGTTCCATTCAACGAGGCGGAGCCAAGTTGAATGGAACAGTCATTTTTTTAATGAATGAAAATATTCTTTCCACTGTATGAATAAAAAACATTCATTATTTGTTTTATAACACACCTAAAAGATTCTTGTCATTTGATATTTCATGAAAAAAATTTACCTTTATTCTGAATGGAGATTCTTGTAATTAGATAATTTGTAAAAAAAGATTTAGCCTTTTTCTAAATGGAACAGTTCAGCATCTTTTTAACCAATCAAAAGATTGTATTAGGTAGGCACCGTGCAATGGGAAAAAACGAATGGAAAGAAAATGCATGGATGGAAATAAATTTCAATGATGAGTGAAAAAATGGGGGTAAATAACCAATGTCACATGTGATATGAAATCCACCAATCAAATGACAGTGATCTACTTAGGTGTGTTATAAAGGACAATATTTACATGTATTGTACCCATCATATGGAGATATATGTTGTGGTGGTGGTGATGATGATGATGATGATGATGATGATGATGATGATGATTATAATAGACCAAGTAATAATGAAACCATAAAAAATATACCCACATCAACATCTTGTGAGAGGAGCTGATATCCTTGATTGACAATATCAGCATGATCTTCATCACTGCTGTTCTCATCACTGTCACTTGCATCGTTCTCCATGACAGCAAAGCCAGGCTCCATTAGTAAGTCATCTTTGTTGCCATGGCTTGGTTCACTCCTTTCTTCCTTGGGCACAGGTCCCATGCTATTCAGTTATCTGGTAAATTATGTGTAAAGAAAAGAAAAGTTAAAGAGTAAAATTTGTTGTTACTTTTTATATTTTAATTTGTTAAACAATTTTTGAAATTCACATGCACATAAAGTCACGTACAATTTAGTGTTAATTTTATGGCCATTTGTGTTCAAAATAAAATGAAATTAAATGTACTTATTAATGTACTAAAAACGATCAACAGCATTTTCTATACAAAATTGGTGAACCTAGCACGTACCTAATTATATTCCTGGACAGGGTAGAAAGAGACAAAAAGAGATAAGCGTGCCCAAAGATGGTTGGCGGTGCCAGTAGAAGGTCTAGGGTGGAAGAACAGAACCATAGACCCTCATCGGAAAGGGGTGACAGATGATCGAGCCCACAAGATCATCGGGCCCATTTCCCGACGATTGGGCCTAACTAGTGTTGACATTCGGATCCACACCAAGACAATCGGTTCCATCCACATTAGTGTGAACTATCAGGCCCACATTTTGTCTGATCCATTATTGCATTTCAAATTTATTTAACATACAGGTATTAAAAATCAGAATTAAGGGCACATAGAAAAAAATGATTAGATTATCACTCTTTTTATTAAAAAAAAGTAATGAGGAAAGGCAGTTTTTTTGTTTTTTTTGTTTTTTTTTTAATCTGAACAATAGAATATTGCTTTTTTATCGATGAGGGAGGACTGTTTTCATTTGGCAATATTGTATTGTATAAAACTTGTTTAATTTTATTGTTTTTTTAAAGAAAATGTATTTTCAGTCATAAAATTGCACTGTTTTTGTATGCTGTTGAAATAAATGATGCAGCAAAACAATTTTTTTTTTTCCCACATCAATATTTCCTAAATTTTTGACGCGGACTAGAGTGACAATCTAAATTTTTTTTTCTATTTGCCCTAAAATGATCATATGTTTATATATTTTATTTATTTAAAATTTATTTATATATAATATCAAACATCAGCAAATACGAACAACAGCCTTGGGCTGAAATGATTTTGCCTAAACACAAAAATTGGGCCCAATCCCAATCTCTACCATTTTGTCATGGACCACTACTTTAAAAAAGTGGTCGAATTAAAAAAAAAAGATAAAAAGATTAGCCTCACAACTTAGGTCCTGGCCCCTATAGTTAGACATACTTCTACTAGTTTATAGGCCTAGACCTAGCCTAGTTCGGGGCCTCTGGGTCCAAAAGGAGGCCGCTTTCTAGTAAAACGGCAATAAGACAAAAAGGCAACACTTTTTATCCAGAACAGCAATGGACCGGTCAAAATGGCAATAAACCAAATAAATAAATAAAACTTTCAAACACAGACAAAATGAGGCTAAAACAATTTATGTCATGTAAAAAATGCGAAAAAACATTAATAATATTAATGAAAATAATAATAACAGGCGTAACAACAATATAACATACAAATTCAATACAGTATTAAAAAGATTGGGGGCTGAAACACAATATAAAAGCAGTAAACATTCAAATAAATAAAACTTTAAATGCTGTGGCTATGTTTACGACGAGTCATGAAAATAGCCCCCAATGCTTTTCTTACGACGATCGGTAGCGCATGCGCGATTAGCGTTCCTCGTCAGGGAAACTTGAACAGAACACATCGCAACTGCCTCTAGGCCTAGAGAAAGGCCACACTGGCTTGGTAGAATCCAGTTATCAAACGCAGCAGGTTGCTAGGAGTTCTACCCGGCTAGGGGTCGGATTAAAACTACAATTTAAATTTTGTACATGAAAAACAAAAATTTAAAATTAATTAATGCGTATCCCTAGGGCCTATCCCCAACATAGGAAATCAAATATGAACAATTAATGAATAAGTAGCCTAAGGCGTAGGCTTACAAATGATATCTATTTGTCAATCCCAACTAGACGGTGGGTATTTCAATTCTAATGCCTAGGCTATTTTATATATATTTTCTTATTTGAGTTTAATCAGTCTAACTTTTAGTTTCTAGGCCTGCAGTATGTCACGTCAAGCTTCCTTCAGTAATGTGCAATAGGCTTAGGCCTATAGATAGGCCTATATTGTTATTTACCTTGAATTTACCTTGAATCTTCGAGACTTAGAGATCAAAGCTCATTTGTCCCTCAATCATTATCGAATCCTCTTCGGTCATATACGGGCAAAATTTAAAGTGGTGGCCAGACCAGACTTTCTCTAAGCCCGCTTTAAAAAGATTTACTGAGCTCTGATTTACCACATTACTAGGAAGGGAGTTCCAATCGTCAGTAACTCGAACAACGAATGCCTTTTTCCTAACATTAAGTTTAAATTTCTGTTTATACAATTTATATTCATGGCCTCTGGTTATAGAATAATCTGAACTTGTAAACAAGCACTCAGGGTCCAAAAGATCAATACCTTGAAAAATCTTAAAGGTCTGAATGACATCTGCTCGTTTTTTTCTAAATAACAAAGTTGGCAAATTAAGAGCCTTAAGTCTCTCCACATAAGCTTTGTCACTCAGACTTCTAATCAATCTGGTGGAGCGTTGTTGGACCTTCTCTAATAAATCAGAATCTTTTTTATATTTAGAATTCCAGACACAACTACCATACTCTACCACAGGACGAATCATTGACTTATAGAGACGCAAAAAACCATTACCATCAAGAAATTTAAATGCCCTTTTGATCAGACCCAATCTTCTATTTGCTGCTCTTGCAACCTTTACCAAGTGTTTAGAAAAATCCAACTTATCATCAAATAGAATACCAAGATCTGATTCCTCCTTAACACATTCAATTTCACATCTTGATGTACCAGTACCAATAAAATATTTAAAATTAAAATTTTTGACTCCATAATGCATAATCTTGCATTTTGTTAAGTTAAATGGCAATTGCCAGTCTATCGACCACTGGTACAGTATAAAGCATTTTACATCCCTGTAAAATCTCACGATCAGTCTCACAATTGACAACTCTAAACAGCTTAGTATCATCCGCAAACAACTTTATAAATGAATCAGAAACAGTTTTGGGTAAATCATTAATGAAAACTAAAAATAATAAAGGTCCAAGGACACTACCTTGAGGAACCCCGCTAGACACCAATTGCCATCCAGAACTAACACCATTAACGACCACTCTCTGTTATATAATACGCAGTGGCATCACAGAGTTTGGGGGCCCTGGTGGTGAATATTATTGTGGGCCCTAATAAGCGATCTAAGCGAGCGTTAATTTTGCGATCGGAGCAATCAAACAGAAGCTGAGGTAATAAAAAAAATTAAGAATACTACTACTACTACTACTACTGGGCTAGGCTAGTCTAGTGTAGGAGGAATAAGCCTTGGCCCTGGCTGGGCTGGCCTATCTTGTTTGGCTACCGGAGGCCTAGGCTCTAATTAAGCAATAAAAAACACATATAATTAAGTTACTACAATAAGGTTATTGCTATATACTTACATACAGTATTTAGGCTATGAACATTGATAAGATATTTTGAAAACAACAAAAAAAAAACACTAGGCCTAGAGATCAGCAGTACCACAAAAAAACATTTGAGAAAACAGGCTCTTTATAGTCGTCAATAAAGGTAAACGTCGGACTACCCCATTTAACTACTGTATTACAGGACATTGTAATTCTACATGACGACTGGAATCAGACTATGTTCACACTAAAAGGGAAATCGAATTTGATTACGTTTATGTCAAAACAAGGTGAAAATATCAGACAGACGTGAACCAAATAGATTGCAACGAGTAGCAAAAGAAGAAATTACAATGTAATCCTCTTACCCAAAGACTTGATGCAAGATTTAATTCAATTTAGTTAGAAGATAAGGTGAGACTTTTCCTTTTCCGTGCAATGGTTAATGAATGAAGATTTTGTCTAGGTTTTCAACAAAGAGAAATCTACCAGTGGTATCTGCCGATTCAGGAGGATGATTACTGCTGCTGCTGTGCTGGATTAGGTATGTGTCCCTCCCTGCCTGGTCGGTGGACCTGGCCTGCATGCAAGGTCGGACGTAGGCCTGCCTACCTGTCTGTGTGTAGGCCTAGCGTAGGTAGTTAACTAGGCCTAGTATTTGGTGATTATCTTTGTCATGAATGAATGTGGTAAATCTGATTTCAGATTAGCTCATATTGATACTTCATTGCATAAATTCGTCTACTGTAAACTTAGCAAGGCCATTGTTTTTTTATTTAGCAAGGTGCAGAATGAAATTAAAAAATTGAAGTTTGTCCCCACATTTCGAATCTAGGCCTAGTATCCTAGCCTGTTGGCCGAATTTCACAGAAAATTAGGCCTTGGTGTGTATGACTCCCAAATATACAATCAGCAATTAGCGGACGGCGTTGAGTGTCTAGTTTCCTAGCACTCGCAGAGGCAGAGTTGGATTCATCGTGCAGTGAGTGCCCGGCTTAAAGGTGTAGGGCCTAGGGTCGTTTCGGCCCTGAGTCGATTTAGCTCCAAGTCGTTTCGGCCTTGACCATTTCAGTCGTGGTATTTTTATCATGGATTTCGGCCGCGGTGTATGAAGCGCCAACAATTTAGTCGCCGTTTTAGGCTTTTTAAAAATTCATAATGCCGACAAAATTACTCATTGCATAGAAATCAAGGAATTGTTAACTAGAGTATAATTTGAGGAAGAAACATTCCCAACAATTATGTTCGCATGGTACTCTTGAGGTGAAACAGACACATGGCTTGTATTTCCTTGTTTGTTTTATTTCCTGATACATAGGCCAATTCTGATTATGTTTTATAAAAGACACAAATAAATGGAAATATAGTAAAATATGTTTTAAATATAATTTATGGGCCTGTACAATGTTAGTGGCTGCTTCAGGCTTCTTTTGATGATATTAAATAAGCCAGAAATTTCACTCACAGGGCCTATTGTTGCTTGGAATCTGACTAAGAATCGGGAAGAAACGCCCACAAACAGGTTCCCACGATACTCTTGAGGGTGAAACAGACAATACTTTGTACGCCGCCTTCAGGAATGTGGGCACACTACTGCAAAGACAGTAGGTCAGGTGATGAAGTTAAACAAAACTACCGTATATTCTGGTGTATAAGCCGCAAATTTTATACACGATTTTTCCCCCGAAGTTTGGGGTGCGGCCTATACACCGGTCATTAACCTACACCCAAAAGTTCATATCGCTAGCCTAGGACCGGTTTGTAGCCCTAGTATTTGTAATTATACTCACTACAGTACTGTACTAGGATTCCTACTACATTTTCTACGACATTCAAGCAATAGTTTGGGTTGCCTAAGTAATTATTTTCATAATTACGTTCACTTATAAACAATTTTGAAACACGCCGTTTCTGTTCGAAACCGCTTCGCTCAAAACAATAACCAACTACTTTTCGGGAGTTTGGTCCTTGAGGTCACGTGAGCAGCTTCATTTTCGATGTCGCAACAAAACACATGTGGCCGCGGGCTGGTGAAACTTGCAACTCGACGTCTGTTTCCCGCTGGCTTGTACCGTTATAGAGAGAATATTGATACTGCTATAATAATTTTAGAATAAAAACTTGTGAAATTAATTTATGCTATAAAAACACGAGTTTTCTTGAAGTTGTAATAATTATTTTACTGGAATTTAACTGTAGAAAGGCATACGTCATCTGGGCATGCGTGAACTCCGTATCCACGATATTTCTCCAGTTCTGTTTTTATTTATAAAACATGGTGCGTGGTGGTGCATGCTTCGCACAGTGGGCTGTGAGTAGTAATGACTTAAGCCTAGAATTACCAATATTTTTAGCCTAATACCGACTGTTATTAGTAAACATAATAATAGAATGGTTGTTTAAAATAGATAAATATAAGTGTTTTATTTTATTAAACTTAAACTAAACTAGCAAAAAATGGGGATTTCCCTAGGGCTGCCTAGAATAAGAATACGTTGTTAACATGGCGGTAGCCAGCTGTTTACATGCATTTCCAGTTGTTTGTTGTTTAATAATCGGCCGAAAAAGATGAAATTTCTTTATGTGAACATTTATAAATAATGTCAATGTTTCAAAATAATTAAAAACTTAACATTATGGGAACGGTTTGGAGCTTAAAAGTAGGTGCGGCTTATACACAGGTGACACAAAAAATCGTGATATTTCGCGTCCTAATTTCATGAATAAATTATAACCAGAGGGTTACGAACACCATCAGTATTATGTCCATATTATGCCATGAGCCATGGAGGAATAAATTCGTAGTGACAGGATAAATGCAATTTAATGCCAGTACCTGCTATAGAACTATTTATAGGAACAGTCCCACGGTTCTGCTACTATGGAAATTGACTATTAAGGGTCATTGATCTTGCTGCGGGCCGAGTTATGCATAGCCGTACCCTTTGTACGGCGTCCAGTGATAACGACTCGACGTTACCATGGAAAAGCATAGAATAAACTAAGAAAATGTCAGTCTCTGAATTTTTGTGTGCAATTAAATCTTGTATTTCTATTTTCTTTAAGTCTCATTTTCAATTATATTTTATATTTGTTATATATATTTGAAAATGGATTTAGTATGATACAAATAAATTAATTACAATAAAGACAACAAGGAAGTGACAAACAGATAAAAAATCAAATAAGAACAGCTCATTCAGTAGAACATAAATTAAAGTTAATTAGCGTAAACAGTTTAATACATGAACATAGGCCTAATTAGTGATCAAGATCTACTGTGTGTGTGTGTGTACAACAGTCGCTTGTATATGCTTGTATGATAATCTGATCTGAACACAATACTTTTATTTAGTGGTTTTTTTTTTTTTTGCTTTTTGTTGTTTTTTTTTCATTTTGGAAGCTGAACAACAATAATTTAGGCCAAAAAATGGCTACCGTATCCAAAAACGTCATTCCTCTACACCCAGGCCCAATGTCTGTTTTCAAAATAACCTACAGAGAATGAATGAAAATAAATGGGGAAAAAATAATGCCACCCTAGCTTAGCCTACTGCACTAAATTCTGATATTCATCGTATATGTTGAGTATTTATTGGCGGTCACTGTACTTTATTATGAATAGGACTACAAATGGTAGGTCTATTGTATACTTATTTTTTATATAGGCCTACCATAATATATTTTAAATGCAAGGTTATTCCCAACTATTATATCGGAACAAATTATACATCTAGATGTGTATAAGAGACAAACTCAATCCCGATGACAAAAGTTAGATACAGAAACAGCAGAGAAAAACACAAATTCAAGAGTATACGCTGATGGCGCTTTCCTCGTAAGTGTCTGTTTAGAAAAAATATAAATGATAATCAGATTAACAGTTCAATACTTGTAATAGTTTTAAATATTTTCCCTAGGCATCGTAATGACCCTGTGTTTAAGAGAATCATTTTGTGGTTATATTTGTCTCGTGTAATTCATCAAGCTCTTTTGCGTTTATGTTGTTTAGATGAAATAAATATTAATCAAAAGTATACAGTTGGGACAGGCGGATATAATAAAATAATTAACTTACTTGAAGTACATAAATGTAATAATAGTAATAACCAAGCAGACGATAGATATTACACATCCTATACTACTGATGTAGGACAATGCATCTTGAAACCTCGTGGTTGGACCGGCTTGACCAGAAT